AATTTTACTTACAAGAACAGCAATAACAACAGCTAACATTCATTGAGTATTTTCTATATGTAGTGCACAATGCTGAACACTTTACATGTGTGTAATATAACCCTCAGAATAACTCCAAGGTAGAATTAGTATCTATATTTTATAGATGAGGATGCTGGGTCTCAGAGACATAAGAAATTGGTCCCAAATCACATATCTAGTAAGTGGTGGATTCAGGATATCATGGAAGCCACTAGGAACTGAGCTCTCTAAACTGAAGGCCAGGAACAGGAAACAAATCTGCATACTAAGCCAAACCTGTTAAGAGTGTGAAATAACTCACTCCTAGTTTTCAGTGTTTCAGAGATTAAGTAAAAAATCTTCAACAGAATCCAATCCAAGTGTGCACTTCTTTGCATTCAGCATACACACTTGCCAAGGAAAAACTGTTTGTTGCAGAAAATGCTATTTTACACCATCCCTATTCCTGGTAATGACCTTTCCTGGTTTCTTTCCAAAGACTACATTAGAGCCAACCACCTTTCCCCCAAGCAAGTTGTCCACTTACCAAGTGTAATAGGAAAAGAGAAAGTGGCCTATAGGTGGTCTCAGGAAGGTACTACTATTCTGTTTCATGAAGGTTTTGAAGCAACCTAGAGCTTTTAAGCTTCTGAGTTTCACCATAGTTTGCTATCAATGCACAAACTCTCCTTATCATCAACTGTTCTGTGTCCTATTGGATGCAGAAGAAACTGGCCTTCACAGAGGCCTCAGAGGTACCAGGCACATCTGCATAAGCCCATCCTCCTTTCTCCTTCTGCCTCTTCCCCTTTATCATCAACATCATCATTGCTGTCGTTTACTAAGCATTTACTATGTGTCCAGCACTCTCTTAAGGTTTTATGTATATTTAAACCTCATTACAATCTTATGAGGTAGCTGCCATAAACTCATTTTTCAGATGATGAAGAGACTAAGTGAGATTGGTTTACTGCCTCAAGGTCACACAATGAGGAGCAAAGTCTTGGTTAAAATACAAATCTATTTAACTCCGGAGGATGTGTTCTTAACTGCAACATTATATCACTTGCCATAAAGAATTTACAATGGGGCATAAGATCAAGAAACAATGCACCAGATGTGTGGCTCTAAAATAAGCTTGTATTTATATAAAGTGATAGGATTGAGATTTAGAGGTTCTTAATCTGTGGTCTGTGGATCCCTGCATGTCCACAGATAGATTTTGGGAGGTTTGTAAGCCCCTAAAACAGAGGTCAGCAAACTTTTTCTTAAAGAACCACATAGTAACTATATATATTTTAAATTTTACAGGCTATATGGTCTTTGTTGCAAACACTTATCTCTGTTGAGGAAGAAAAACAATCATAGGCAATACACAAATGAAGGGGCAGGATGGTTTTCCAATAAAACTTTATTTACAAAAAGAAGCAGTTGGCCAGCAGGCTTTAAATGGTATGCAAATTCTATGTGTGTATATGATAGTTGTTTTTGTTGTTGTTATTAGTGGAATATCCATAGCTTTCCATAGCTTCTCAAATAGGTTCAAAATCAAAGATGGTTAAGAACAACTGGTCTAAGTGGTCTAAATGGTTAAGGGTTCTATAATTCTCTTGCCTTTTAAATTAACAATCTCTTAGAGATTCTTTGTCCTTAGAAGGCTCTTTTGATGAATTCTGCTGTGAAATATTAAGCGGGCAATAATTACTGTCTATTGGGAAGGAAACATGGGTCCCATTACTATTTCAATGAGGTATGGTGTGGAGGAAGTGTGACTGATCTGTCACTGCATCTGACCAGGGACCCTCTGTCCCCAGGGAAACATTTCTCATAGGATCCCCTAGCTTCATGAGTTAGAGCATCGTATTCATTGCCTGTGACTATACCAACACGTACCATTTCCCTGCATCCCGCTCCTTGGGTCTTGTCTTCCCCCAAGTCGAATCTCTGGGTGGGAACTGTTGATTATATTCCACTGTGTCCACCACAGAACTTGGTACCACACTTTGCATATATGTGACAGGAAGAGTAAAGAACTAGAGTAAAGAAACTACAGAATTTTTTTTAGGTCATTAGTACTGAGATCCCTAAAAGTTATAGCCAGTTTTAAATTCTTGCATCGAAAATAAAAACAAGGGCTGTCCGATGAACTTGAAAAACAGGACCAAGTGCTTTAAATTTTAGGAACAACAATAACAAAACCACGATGTATTAAAACAAGAAAGTACAAATACTATGAATCATGATGCGATTACATTTCTATTCCAGATTTTTCTGAGAAGGGAGAATTGGACAGAGGGGAAAGAAACAGAAAGGGAGGAAGAAATGGCAGAAACTGGAAGAGGAGAATGAAACAAGAAGAACAAGGAGACAAATGGGAATACAGATGGAAAGGATGAACGCAGAGTGGGTCTGTATGCTAACCAGCTACTGCTGGGTTGAAACTCTGTCATTAGATGCAGCTATTTCTCACAGCAAGTGCCCCCCAAAGAAGGAAATAAACCAGCAAATGAAAATAACAGGAGTGTAAATCACTTAGCCAGTACTTATGCAGACTTTATTCTATATTAGACTCCTGTACATATCACATCAGGATTAGTGTTAGCTCTCGGAAATGAAACATCCATAAGAGGACCACATGGTGCTGACTGTACCCCCAACTAATATTTCAGTTCAGCTTTAATTATCATGTTCATCTGGCTGCAGCATGGTGCTCATAAATAGAAATGGGTCATGGGAGGCCTGGTTGTTGTCCTGGCATATCATTATATGACCTTGGTTGGCTAAGCTCTGTGCCTCAGTTTCCTCATTTGTTAAATGCAAGTAAATATCCCTTGTTCTGCTTATTTTACAGGGGTGTTAGGAGGATGAAAAGTGAGGATATATATCTACACACATGCTTGGATAAGTATAAAATGCCAGACAAATGTAAAATTGACCTCGTTCTCTTCACTTAACAAGGTAGTGGGTAGGCGGGGGGTGGGGGACATGGCATTTTGCACAGAAGGCTGATGACTCAATAAAGTGTCTTTTTTTTCCCCTCAGTAATATCTGGTCTGGCATTATTACTGCTTTCTTGATGTTTTTAGACATACTTTTCCCCTTCAGAAATGCCAAAGGTGAAAAATACTATTCCACTGCTATAATTTGTCACCCTTGCTGCCTGAGCAAGACGTGCATAGACAGTTTAGTAATTAAGCTTTTCAACACTGCATCATAAAGTTTTATTCTGGCAAAGGCTATATTTATCAGCTAACAAGTATTAAATCACCCCACTGCTCAAGTCGTTTCTCACTTGAATATGCTCCTTTCAAAACAGAGCAGCCTTCCTTGGCTGGCTTGATTAATAAAAGTTCTTGTTTAGAAATACTGTAATGATGTGTGGTCCTGTGGGCTGGCATACCTACACCTTGGCAACTATTTCAGATGGTGCTGACCCCTCTCTCCCAGGGGAGTTTGGCACCTTAGCCCTATGGTCTTCTGCAGCATGCTGGTCATCTGAGTTTCATGGTTCTCTGGGATGGCTTCCAGCAGGAGATATTGCCATATCCATTTCATTTCTAAAGGGGAAGAGGTAAATGAAAATCTAAATGTAAAATGGGTTTTCAAAATAATTACAATAGCAAAGGGACAACAATCTACATATTAAGCCAAGTTGAGTTTTTTCTCATATTGCTGAGGTTTTATGAAAACAGATCCAGAATTAATAGGGAAACCCACTTAGAATGAATGTATATATATTAGATATCAAGTCATTAGTAATGGTTGAGAAGAATACTTTCTCTAAGCAACCCACCCCACCTTTATAAATCTTTTTTTCCTCCTTTGGAGGATATAAATTCATGAAACGAATACAGCATTGTTCTCAAAGGTTCAGAATGCTTTCAGTCAAATGGCTCCAGAATTATATTTGTTAAAAACATAATAATTAGTTTGAAACATTTGAAAGACTCTTCCACCATATTTTAAGGGTAAAATCAAAGTAAGACAAATGTTGATGAAGTGTAGTCCAAAATGATGAAAAAATATCACTATTTTTCACCATTTTATATGAGAGACTGCTGGTATAAAACACTAATTTTCTTTTTTCCTTTCCCTGCTTTCAAAACAAGTGACATTAGCCCAAATGCAGGCATTTTAGTTTTATTTATTGCTAAAAGGAAACAGTAATATGCCATAGGATCAAAAAACACACTTTGTAGATACATGAACAAGTTCTGCCTGTGTGTGTGTGTGTGTGTGTGTGTGTGTGTGTGCTAGCAGGCACGTAGGTGTGTAACTTTAAACATAGCAAGATCAGAAGACTTTTGTTGAACTTTTCTTAGTTTGGGAGGCTGTAACAATTTCTCTCCTTTCTAAATGATAAAATAGAACTTACCATTTCACTTTTCAAATTAGCAGCAGGTAGCTTGTTTGAAAGTCTGGGGATCAATTTCTTTCCAGCCAACAAGTCACGGGGTCAAGTCACCAAAGCATGTGGGTGGATATGCTGAACCACTAAGTTGGCAAATATCGAATTGTTTTAAGTGCATCTATTTTCTAGTTCAGTACATTTTTTGTTGTGTTAAATTCATTAAACTGGACACAGTCCAAATGCCATAGCACATACTGGAAAGCACATGAAGGTAATGGCACCAACCATAGGAGATATCTCACAAATGGTAAGGATCGGCATATTTTCTTTCATTTTCTATTTAATTTTTCTCTTTCATAATAAGACTGGAATTTGTTAAAAGTGCTGTGTGACTTGGAAAATCAAGTTGAATCTTGCTATTTTCTGAAGATCTGGAGAGAGTTGTTTCTTTGTCAGTCAAGTTGCCCTCCAAACTGCGATCTTAAGATGATGACATATTTGATCTACAAATCAGGATCACTTGATAACTTGGGAGATATATAAGAAACAAAAATTGCACTCCATTGTACACAGTTTGGAGAAAGCTTATTATTCCGTAATTTGCAAAAATATTGATTCAAGGGCACATTTGAAGACTTTAAAGGAGACCTTGATAATGATCATTCTTTATTTGGAATTGAAATTTTCAAAAAGATAATAAAGGTTTCGCCACATGAACTTTACTTTGATTTAAAATAATTTTAGGGGAGGGTCATTCGTTATTCTTAAGCACCACTTTTCCTCTAACACAGAATAGTCACAGCAGTTCAGAAAAGTGAGGAAAACAGTAAGGCACAAGGAATTTCTATTCTAGCGTGGGTTACAACTATTGAAATTATAAAATCGATTTTATACCCCCTACGAAATATGACAAAAAGTGAAGAACAATTTTCCAGTAATTTCTCTCAACAAACAGAAAACAAAATAATCAATGACAGAAAATTGTGAAAACAAAACCCCAAAGTCCGTGCAGAGAATAAGGATACAGGTACTAAATATAATTCTTTAAAGCTTCCAACACACACAGGGAAGAAGTGATACAGCCATCAAAGTTGGATTGAGTAAATCCATCCCCTCCGCACACAAGGGAAGGTTTGAGATGAAGAGTCATTTGGCCAGGACAGTTGGCGACAGCATTTGTAACCTGAAAAAGTGAAAGAAGGATTACAATTGACATTGTGTGCTGTTGTTCTGTCACGGCAATGCCCACCTGGGGAAGGCTTCTCTACCTGGAGAAATCAAGAATTCTCACAAGGAACACTAGGAGAAAAAACCTAAGACCCCCTAAACTTCTGCCCTATTCTGAGTGTTTACACTTACATTCTTAAATGTTTAAATTTGCAGTTATTAGATAAGATAATCAGGAGTGTGTTGAACTTCAAAATAGTACGTGCTATGGTCTGAATGTTTATCCCTCTAAAATGTATAAGTTGAAGTCCTAATCCCCAAGGTGATGGTATTAAGAGGTGGGGCCTTTGGGAGGTGATTAGGTCATGATTAGGTCTCATGAATGAGATTAGTGCTCTTATATAATAGTCCAGAAAAGTGAGGAGAAGAGTAAGGCACAAGGAATTTCTATTCTAGCATGGGTTACAACTATTGAAATTATAAAATCGATTTTATTCCCCCTATGAAATATGACAAAAAGTGAAGAACAATTTTCCAGTAATTTCTCTCAACTTCCACCACGTGAGGACAAAGCCAGAAGGTGCCTCTATGAGGAAGAGGGCCCTGACCAGACTCTGAACCTGCTGTTGCCTTGGTCTAAGACTTCCTAGCCTTCAGATTTGTGAGAAATAAATTTCTGTTGTTTATAAGCTACCCAGTTTATGGTATTTTGCTATAGCAGCCTGATCAGACTGAGACACCCTTCTCTCCCTCCCTCCCGTCCTTGTTCCTTTCTCACATATTTTATGAGCACTGGGGTCAGGCCCTATGCTGGGCACCGGAGCAGCAGAAATGTGAAACTTCACAGCCCTGTCCTCAAGGAGTTCTCAGCCCTGAGAGTAAGAATGACCCCAAAGCAGGGTGCCTCTAATGTGCCAAAGAATGTGTTCCATTTGCAGACTGCATTTCATGAATTAATTAATTAATTGCAATCAATACATGTAGGTGACTTTCTAAAGAGTCTGATGGATGCATATGAGTTTGCCTCTAAGAAAAACAGGGGAAGGTCACTCCAAGGAGAAAGGGCAGCAAGTGTAAATGCCCAGAGTCTATG